ACCACCATGGTGACAGACAACTTGGGGGGAATGGTGGAATCAGTACAATAAAAAAGAGCAACTAAAGTTGAATGAGCAAAACACACAAAAAGTAGAAACAAAAAAATAAAAATAGGAGACAGTTTGAAATTCAGGACTGTGCCAATAAAGAAAACAACTCATATCAAGCACCACCACTGAAACAGCTAAGAATTTTACATCTATTTGCTTCGGAGGAAATCCTCTTGCAATCCGTGAATCTGAGTAATCAGACATAGTCAAGAAATCCTAATTGTTTTTTAAAAAAAGTTTTTCCATCTTATAACAAACAACCCAAAGGATATGTTAGACAAGTCTGTTTGGGCATGTAATTAGACAGTATTACTGTAACAACTGAAGAAAACATAAGTATTGAGTGTTGGCTAATTTTCTTCTCTGCTTTTTTTAGTTTTTGAAGGCTGTGATAACACCAGAGTATCTTCTAATCCTAGACTATCGCAATACAAATCTGGAAAAATGGCTGTTCCAAGAACTGGCATCTCAGCTAGCTGGAGAAGGCCAACTAGTTACATATTCTTTGCCTTTTGAATTCAGAGCTATAGAAGCAATGCTGCAGTATTGGGTGAGCATACTTATGTTGTGCTAAGAGTGATTGTTGTGGACTTTCCCATACTGGAGCTCTCTGGACATGGTGAACTCCAAATTCCCAAGAGATCCGAGACTTTTAAGTCCAACATATATGACAGATAGATAACAGATAATCAGAGTTGGAAGGGACCTTGTAGGTCATCTAGTCCAACCCCCTGCCCAAGCAGGAAACCCTACACAATTTCTGACAGATGGCAGTCCAGTTTCTTCTTACAAGTCTCAAGTGATGCCGCTCCCACAACTTCCAAGGGCAAGTTGTTACATTGGTTGATTATTCTCACTGTCAGAAAGTTTCTCCTTATTTTCAGGTTAAATCTCTCCTTGTTCAGTTTCCATCCATTATTCCTTGTCTGGCCTTCGGGTGCTTTAGAAAATAGCTTGTGGCAGCCCCTCAAATATAGGAAGACTGCTATCATGTCTCCTCTGGTCCTTCTCTTCACAAGACTAGCCATGCCCAATTCCTGTAACCGTTCTTCGTATGTTTTAGTCTCCAGTCTCCTAATCTTCCTGGTTGCTCTTCTCTGTACTTTTTCTAGAGTCTCAACATCTTTTTATAGTGTGGTGACCAAAACTGGATGCAGTACTCTAGGTGTGGTCTTACTCAGGCTTTATAGAGTGGTATTAGTACCTCCCTTGATCTTGATTGTATCTCTCTGTTAATGCAACTTAGGGTTGCATTAGCTTTTTTGGCAGCTGCTGCACACTGCTGGCTCATATTTAGCTGGTTGTCCACTAAGACTCCAAGATCCCTCTCACAGCTACTGCTATTGAGCCTGGTTTCACCCAGTCTATATGGGTACTTTTGGTTTTTCTTGCCTAAGTGTAGGACTGTACTTTTCTCTACATTGAATTTCATTTTGTGAGATACGGCCCAGTGTTCTAGTCCAGAGGTCTCCAAACTTGGCCACTTTAAGACTTGTGGATTTCAACTCCCAGAATTCTCCAGCCAGCTATGCTGGCTGGAGAATTCTGGAAGTTGAAGTCCACAAGTCTTTAAGTGACCAAGTTTGTGGACCCCTGTTCTAGTCTGTCAAGATCCATCCATCCAGATCTTGAGCCTATCTTTTTGGGTGTTAGCTATTCCTGCCAGCTTAGTATCATCTGCAAATTTGGTAAGTTCCCCTTCTTGTTCCCTCATCTAAGTCGTTAATGAAGATACTGAAGAGTACTGGGCCTGAGATGGCAGTACATTGGGTCGAGAACATTATAATCATTGGTTGAAGGAGACAGATAAATATAGATAGTCCTCGACTTACGACCACAATTGAACCCCAAGTTTCCATTACTAAGCGAGACAGTTGTTAAGTGAGTTTTGCCCCTATTTATGACCTTTCTTGCCACAGTTGTTAAGTGAATCACTGCGGTTGCTTAAGTTAGGAACACAGCTGAAAAGTGAATCTGACTTTCCCATTGACTTTGCTTGTCAGAAAGTTATAAAAGGCGATTAGATAACCCGGAGACACTGCAACTATCATAAATATGAGTCAGTTGCCAAGCATCCGAATTTTGCTTTCATGGCCATGGGGATGCTGCAATGGCCGTAAGTGTGAAAAACAGTCATAAGTCACTATTTTTAGCAATGTTATAACTTCAGATGGTCACTAAATGAATAGTTTTAAGTTGAGGACTACTTGTATGAGATGGCTAAAAGGCAGTCCTTTTCTGTGACTTTAAATGGCCATCCTTATTAATTTATTCTGTACTTAAAAATTGTGTTTCTGGGCTAGTTTCCTGACAACTTCTGTAATTAGTAGAAAGCAAAAAAAAAAAAAAAAAAATCAAAGGAAATTGTGAGATCCCTACAAGGAAAGAGAAAAGGGCTGACCTGACCACCAATGAAGATATTCTGGATTTCAGTTTGTTTGTTTTTTAATGTATTTAATGTAGTGTAATAACTGGCATGTATCAGAAGCAGTTTTGAGCGCAAATATTTACTTTCAAATATTTATATACTGCATGTTATTACATACATATCCAATACAATATCATAATAACATTAAATTAACTATTTGAATCAGTGGCAATGAGAAATAAAATAATAAAAGGTTTTACCCAGCGTCAGTATACAATAAGATTGCTATAGGTTTATTTCCAGTGAAAGGGTGTTCTGCATATATTTCAGCCTGCATTACAAATTTTGCCATAAGTTCAAGATTACATGTCTGTTTTGCTGGACAAAAGGATTTTTTAGAAGGCATTCTAAAAGAATTATTTTAATTCTTATGAAGGATCATGTTGTTATCTAGATCAGCTACCTGAGTGGCAAACTTAGCCATCTGCAGCCTCAAATTCTTGAAACTCTGGATGCTTTAGTGGATCCTAAGCTTTTGTCCCTGGATAGGAGTAAAGTCCATATTTTACTGCAAAATGGAAAGAGGTAAGCAAGTGTACACTCTCTTCAATTACCTTGAAGTAAGTTATAGTAAGCCATTTTCTTGAATCATATAACAGCTACACCACATATTACAACAAATTGCTTAAATCAAATATTAGGCAGGGGATAAAAGCACTGGTTGTTGTCTTGAATGCTGAATTGATTTGTTCAGTTCTACTTGATGCAGTTAATCTTTTTGATTTAACAGTTTAATATCACATGGTTGTGGAAATAAGACAATATAAATTATTACTGAAACAGATGAATTGTTTGAGCCTGATATAAAAACAAAACTAAATTTCTGTTTTAATTGTATATTACGAATCTGTTTGACAAAGAGAATCTGAGTGACAAAGAGAAAATGTTTTAGTGCCTTTGAAAACTATTAACAATAGAAGAAAATCAAATAATAGTCATTTTTAAAAATCTTGGTTAATAGGTCAATTTGAAAGTGGTACATTAATGTATTACATAAATATTAATATAATAGTTGTATAGCTATTACCACTTAACCTTTTCTGCTACATTAGAGAGGTAGCTAGATTCTTATAAATCCCAGCTGCTCCATAAAGGGAAAATGTCTTTCAAGTATCAGGTCCCAACTTCATTACATATTACATGAAAGATATTTTTGTATCTGCTAAACCAGATGACATATTCTTATTTCAATGGCTTCATATAACACGAAGCTGCTGTAAATGTTTATGGATACTGAGCATACTTTTAAGCATAAACAACCCACATTATTGCTCAGCTGTGAAGAGATTTCATGAATGATTCGCACTTTGGATTTTGACTTGACCCAGAAAGAAGTCTTTAACAGCAAGCTCATGTGTACAAACAGATCTTCAGAGAAATATTGGTTAATTTGAGAAACATGGTATGTTTTGCGATAGGTCTCGTATGCTTTTATTTTTCAGTTTGTCTGAATTAGAAACTGACCTTAAAGTTTTCAAAGAGACGATATTGGAAATCCTAGATGACAAAGAAGTCATGGAAGAACTGTGTCTAACTAAATGGACAGACCCAGAAGTATTGTAAGTATAAGTTGTAAAGGAATGTTTTTGGTAGTCCAAATTTCACTTCAAAGTTTTAGAGAAGGAGGAAACATAAGTTCCATTATTTTTTTAAACTGGTTAAGTTTCCAAATGCCTTAATTTTCCACTGCACAGCATAGCTATACTGCTCCCCTCAAAAGCACATCAAATGCTATCTTATCAGAAACCAATTGACCATTGTCTGACAATTATTGCTATTACCGTAGTTACCGTAGTTGACTTGTGACCTTGAAAAATATGTGGTTTCTGTAAAATATGAAGCCTGACAAATGCATTTTATTGGGCTCTCATCAAAATCTGTTTGATTTATCTACTTACAATAGAATTCTGTCACATGGTGTATTTCAGTCAAAATTAGATTTGGTTGCATTATTTTTTTAATGATTTTCTTGAGTTCAAATGGAATATAAATAAAAAGCAGAACCCTGAGTACCATTCAGATAATTCACCCCGGACTATGTAATAAAAAAAACTGAATGCTGTAAAACTAGCAAGTCATAAAGTCAGAAGAAAAAAGGAAGTAAAAAATTAAAAGATGAGAAAATATATGGGCAATAAAATCAGATAATATAGTAGTGGCAAATGCTATCTATTTTTCTACAACCTCAAATTCTAATTTTAATGCAACATGTTGCAAATCAGTTTTAGACTTAGATAAATCAAGGTCACGTGGAATCATTTTGTACCCTCTTCCTGTTCTGTTGGTAAAAAGCTAATTCAGCTTAATGAAAGCTGATTTCACTAAGACAGCCTTTAGAGCAGGCTCCTGGGCCATGGGCCACATGCAGCCCTGGAGTAATGCAGCTTCACAAGATATAATTTAAAATACCGTATATGCCGGCGTATAAGACGACCCGGCGTATAAGACGACCCCCCAACATTTCCACTCAAAATATAGTTTGTTATATACTCGCCCCCTCTTCCGCACGCCTTCCACTTTTGCACTTTTTTTTTTTTTTGAGGCACTTTTGTCTACCGTGGAAACAAATCCCGTGAAGCCGAAAGGAGCAGCCAGCCTTCTCCCAGCTCCCAAGGAAACGAGGCTCGCACCGCCCG